CTACCAAAAGGTGTCCATGCTTAACCTGACCCCTTCAGGAGGGAAGTGGGAAAGAGAAACTGCCACGAATTAGACGTGTAGTTTGGAAAGAGTCACCTCTTCACCCTAGATATGGCTTCCTTTTGGGGGATGAAAGGTGGGGTATTGTAGGGGACTCTGAAAGGATATTTTGGGTAGGAGTCATGGAGAAAAAGACATTGACTCACTGTCCTGATTCCATGGACCCAAGTTCCTACTAGTGGTAAAATGAAAATTAAATCTTTAGTTCTCTATCTGTACAAAATGTATTCTTCTGATAATTTGATAGATACTATGTTTCCTTTCAGTGGGCAAATGGGACTCCAATATCCCTCCTGTACGCTACACTGAGAGGCACAGGCCAGAGAGTGAGACCTTGGAGGAGACAATTGAGAAAGTCATTTTCTTGGCTCCATTTCTTACTTAATTGGGCATTAATTAACAACTGACTCACAACTGACCCAGAAAGCGAAACATTCCCAGCCCCCAGTGTGTCCCATAAAGTGTGTTACAGTGTACAATATGCCTACATTCCCCTCAGACTGAAATGGCCTCAGGGAAGCTGGTCAGTGTTCATTTTGTTCTTGGATTAATTTAGGCTCTCACTCCATAACAGTTTGGAAACTGACTTTTTTTTTTTTTAATTTTGGAAATGAGGATGTATATACCTTCCTCTTCAAATAGTTGTAAAGAGTATAGTTAGAAATAGATAAATAATGCACTGAAACAACAGAACAGTGCCTGGAAGTTAGCAGTTACTTAAAGGAAACTTTTTATTATATGAAGGATCAATATCCTTTTTGCTAATTTCTGAGTTTTCTCAAAAGTATCTACTCCTGAGATAATTCTGTGCTTTCTCAGTGTCCATTACTTATTTCTTCTCAGCTCTGGAAGAGTGCAAACAGTGATTGGAGTGACTGTAATAGGTTTCATACTATATGGAAAGGAAGCAAAGAGAAGAATGAATTTCTGCGTCCTGGGTCCTGTGAGTTTTGGGATTCACTGAAACTCTATCTCATTGAGCTATGTGACTACCCTCTTATCACTATGATCACACTTCATAACACTTACTAGAGTTTGGGGGTATTTACCCATACCAGGAGTTTGAGAACATGGTTTTTATCATGTTATTATGTTGATTTTATAAATGAGAGAACCGAGGTTTGACAAGTTAAGCAACTTGTCCAATATTCTACAACTAGTGAGAAATAAAGATGAGATTAATACCTAGCAAGGGCTATTCTAAAAGCTGATGGTCTTAACCATTATACTATTAGCCCAAGTCATCCGAAAATTTTCCTTTGTTCAAAGTAGGGAAAAACAACTGTATTTCTGTGATGGAATGGATCTGTCAAACAGGACAGTTAGATTAAAGGAACTACTACTCTCCTGTTCTCCATACCAAGCAGGAACTCACCAAAGGTGACATGTTAACCTCTGATCTCAGGACGCATCTATCTAATGAGATCCTAGACCTAGAAATAGGACCAAGTGGATGGGTTAATACTAGTCTCCTCATCAAAACTGAGCAGTCACACAAGTTGGTTGTATTTCTAGGGGCTGGTATAGTGTTTCCTACATTTCTGTCAAATCATTAATTCTCCAAGATGTTCTGTAAAAACAGATTTTCTAATTGAATGAATTTAAAAACTGAGGCATAGTATATCCCTCTCTTGAAAATTCACAGTGCTGATAAACATAAAGGCTTGCAATAAAAATAAACAAATAAACAAACCATAGTGAAACATGACTTATTTAATTTGTTAACTAATTATTTCCCAAACACACTGGCCATATAACCCTTTGTTGGAGTGCCAAATATTAATATTGCAAGGACCTAGTAGTATTCCATGGAACAGATGTTGAAAAAATTTTGCTTAGTACAAAGATAAGAGCTTGAGACTGCTGCCATTCCAACTTTTTAAATGTGTGCAGGTCAGTTATCTTCTCTGGGCTATAAAATGACTACTAGCTGACTTCTAGCTCACAGAATCTATGACTATGGCCAAATATACAGGACATAGTGAGAGATTAAAACACATGAAAAACTCATGCCTGGATTTAGGAAATTTAAAATTAGATAAAATAAATACTAGCATGTTAGAGAAGAGTATCGTACCCAGTAGCTCATAATGTTTAATAAACTTTTGCTAAATAAAAGAATATGAAAAGGATGTAAGTACATTTAAATGAAATAAACTGGTATAATAGGATCTAAAGTCAAGGATGAGTGATTGAAATGTATTAGGGATGCTCCTATGTAGATATAAATTTCAAGTGATTTAGAAAGAAAAGAAAGGTAATTAATATTCACCACTTACTATGTGCCAGATAATTTATAGATACTACATTAATCTTGACAAAGTTATGTGGCTTAGAACCTGTGCTCACTATCACACTTCTGCTAACTGCTGATGGAGAGGTTAGAACTAATATCCTGGCAATATTAATTTTAATTTCCCAGAATTTAGATCTCCCATAGTGTTCTGTAGAGGCAGCCATAGTCATAAATTCACTGAGATAAAAAAGGAGCCCGGAAATTCCAGAGATCAACTTTCTCATTTTCAAGCTCTAAGTTCAATTTACTTTGTAACCTCTCAAAAATCATATTTGGAAAAAAAACTGTCTTTTTTTTTTACTGTTGCATTTTAATTATACAAAATAGGATGCATTGTCATACAGTGGTGTATGCACATGGCATAATTTGGTCGATTTCATTCCCCATTACCTTAGCTCTTCTTCCCTTCCTTCCTTCCTCAATTCCCCATCTTCTGCTCTACTGATTACCCTTCTAGTTTCATAAAAATCCCTTTCTTTTGCTTTTTCTCTCTAGCTGCCACATGAGAGAAACTCTGTGACCCTTGACTTTTACACAAAAAAGTGTACACCTTTTCCTTGACATCCTCACCAACATTTATTATTATTTGTATTCTTGATGCCTGCCATTCTAACTGGAGTGAGATGAAAT